GAAGTAGGTGAGACACAGAGGGTGAACAGGAAGTAGGTGAGACACAGAGGGTGAACAGGAAGTAGGTGAGACACAGAGGGTGAACAGGAAGTAGGATGAGACAAAAACACTGACCCCGCCCCCCACACCGTGATATACTTCCGGCAAGGCTCCATTTCCAAATGATTCCACAACTCCCCAAAATAGTCCCAACGGGGACCATGTCTTCTTAAACGGAGCCACAGAGGAAGTTTCTCATTCACAACACCACCCTGAATGTACGATCATTCCATCCTTGGTGGCCTTTATCACTTTCCTCTCCTTATTCTGTTAAAGCCATGTTTGCTATTGGGAAATGGAATTCCTGGTGGTTTTTGCACACCATCTCTCCTGTCTTCCTTTCAGTCAGGGAAAGCAGAATCTTGAGCCAGGATGGTTTGCCTTTCCTGTTTGTCCATGGTGTCAGGGAGAAGCATCTCTCCCAGAGTACTGTATCCACTCCCAGGCAGTGCTCTGCTCACACGGTGGAAGAGAAGGGCGGGAGAGATTAAGGAGACTTCTCTGAGGTTTCCCTATGTGCTGTCTCCGTAGGACTCTGTTTAGGGGTTTTTCATATTGAACCAAGCATTGATTTCTAGAGGCATCCATTTCTAGATATTTCCCATAGTTAGAGCATTTGTTGGGTTTGTTTATTTTATTCATTCCATTTCTACTAGCTTCATGCAATGACTTGAATATTGTGTCTCCAGAATTCATACAGAAGCATGATCCCTGATGTAACAATAGAAAGAGAAAGGTCTTTCAGAAGGCCGTAGACCACGGGCTCTGCAAGCTTGGGTGGGTTGGTAGAAGGCCGTAGACCACAGGCCTTTCGTTTCTGGTAACAGGATTTCACTATGCGCCAAGGCTGACTTCCACCAGTTGGCCTTTCCGTTTCTTGTTTTGTGAGACGAGAGCCTCTGCCCTTTCTGCTGTCCTCCTGCCCTTCTTCAGATGAAGACCTAGAAACAAACAGTGTCTGAAAAGCACAAATCCAGCCCTTACCAGACACTGCATCTAGCAGTGCCTTGATCTCTGAACATGATCAATAAATGTACGGTATTGTTGAGGGCCAAGCCTCAGGTGCTTCGTTACAGCATTAGGAGCAGATTAAAGTCACTGAGTGTGACAAATATGACAATCATGTCATAGTTCCTTTGCCATCTTTCCCCAGAAGTGCTCTGAATGAAATGGGAAATAACACTTTGACTCCTTGTCTAGCCCTGCTTGTCTTTAATCATAAGATTGCTTCTTCAGGGGGAAACCATGCAGGAAGACCTCACTTCTGAAGGTACAGAGGGTGGCCAGTGTCTTTCACTGAGATTCAGTGGAATTAAACAACTGAGATACTTGGTGTCAAGAATGTTTCACAGAATGTCCTCTGAAAATTCAAAATGGCGGCCCTTGTCCTTCAGCTATCAGCTTAGGCATCATTTGACATGACTTCCTAAGAAGCCTTTCTTCCTACCCCAACTGTAAGGTGCCCCCATGTGATTATCCATATTTACATTGCTGTATCTGAATGGTGATTGCCTGTGTCTTTTTATTTCCCACTGCAGGTCTTGAGGAAAGAGACCAAGTGTTGGAATTCCTGGCCACTCCCCCAGCTACATGACCGTGCATCCGCTGGCAAAACAATTAGTCATTCCAGGGCTTTACATCCCATGTAATCCGTCACTGTGTGATCATGTAATTTGTGTGCATCGTAATCACACAACCTATGCACATGTGTGGCATAGCTCCATAAGCCCATATGAGCATGTGCAGGGGAATCCATAAAAAGCCGGTCACAGACTCCTCACCCCTTTCTCTTCCTCTTCTCCCCCTCCTCCCTGCACATGTCTTCCATGGGCCCAAGCACATTCTCTTCTGTCCCTCCTTCCCTAATAAACTCTGATAGTGGGTTTTCTGGTACCTCGTGGCTTTTCTCGCATGGTAACAGCACCACTTAATGAGTAACATTGCACCACATAAAGCCAACATTGGTGACAAGATGGAGGGCCTCCCAGTGCTCTGCATCCAGGACCCTGTACTGAGGTTTGTTCCATCTACGGCAGCCCACTTTTCCTGTGCCTGGCCGACGGACCACTCCTCACAACACCAGCTGCTCCAATTGATGAGTTTTCCCTTTCCAATCCCTACCCATTTCCCACGACTGCAGCCTGAGATATATTTCTCACTGTCATGACCCCCCCCCCGGGGGGGGGGGGGGAGTCAGGACCCACAGGTTGAGAACTGATGCTTTAGACAGTCTCACTCAAAACTGACATGGTGGGGGGGGGGTCCTCCAGGTATGCACACCCTGGCCCTCATTCTCTGGCTTGACGAAGTATTGAATGACTTGTGCCAATTGCCGATCCTTCCCTCATCTCGGGGACACCTGAGATTGTTGTCTTGGGTCCCCTTTGTTTTTTCAGTTTTATTTTTTTCTCTCGGCTGCAGTCATGGGACATAAGGCTTCCTCCTCTTCGTCCCACTCCTCCTCTGAGAAATTGCTTAGATAACAATAAATACGGCCACGTAATGGTTGCTTGAACTCCGATATTTCACAAGAATTATCTAACTTCTGCCAGCAAACAGGCAAGTGAACAGAGTTACCTTATGCCCAAGCTTTTTCCCTAAGCTCTGAACTCTCCCTTTCTGATTCTTTCTCGCCCGCCCACAGTCAACCTGAACCTGAGGAGTCTCTGACTCCAAAGAACCTCCGTCTATCTGACCTCTGCTCTCTGGTACCGGCCCGACTCTGGCTCCCACATCCACTCTTACCGTCACCCGTTCTCAAGTGGCCCTGAGAAGCACAGATGGGTCTGGAAGCAGGCTAGGAAGCATGCAAATGAGTTTCTGATCAGGACCCACATTGGGATTATAATAACCCAGATGGCTCTTTAGCTAGAGATCAGTTTACACCTGCCTCCTGGCAAGTCTTCCTAAGGCTGCCCTCAAACTAGCAAACTATGAAAACCAAAAAACGTAATCCAAGATAAGGAATAAAATCCGTCTCATGTCTCCCAGAGCCTCCCCCAACATCAGGGCTAAACTTAAGTGTCTGGAGAGAGGCCGCCTCCCATGGGCCGAAGTCTTAGCTGTGACATTTAAGGTGTACCATGGGAGAGATGAGAAAGCCCATAAGCAGAACTGCCAAATGCTGGCACACGCTATCTGACTGGCTGTCTGAAGGCTTCCATGTCCCTGTCTTAAGTGTGGTAGAGAAGGCCACTGGGCTTTGCGTGCCCTGCCCCTCTGGCCAAACTGGGCCTTGTTCGAAGTGCCACCAAGAGGGACACAGGTCAGCTGACTGTCCTCGTGCACCTTGTGGCATGGGGGCATCACCCCAAGACCACCCTCCAGCTGTCTCCTAGGCTTGGCCGTGGGCAAGAATTAAAGTTACCATCTCTTACAAGGAACCCAGGGTAGCCATTGCAGCATGGGACAATCCATTTCCTTCCTTTTGGACACTGAGCTACTTACTCAGTCCTGAGGGAGTTTTGGGGTCCCACCTCTCCTTCTTGTCTCCCTATTGTTGGGGTAGGAGGACAGCCTTACCTACCTCATCAGACACTACCACTTAATTGTATTTTCAGGGACATCCCTCTCACACACACATTTTTAGTGTACCAACCTGCCCTGTGCCCCAATGGGAGGAGAGTTTCCAGCTGAGGTAGGAGCTTCCATTTCATTTGCTCCCCCCATGTGCCTCACTCCAGACCGGTCAGCGGTGCCTCTTCTCCTCCTCATGCACAGTGCACAGACAGGGCCCTGATCTCTCTCAAGTTCCAGAGGACATCAGGATCTACTGCCTTGTCACCAATTCCAGAAGAATGAGGTCTCACCCCACAAGCTCTTCCTTCCTGGTTCCCTCTCCTAATTAACCACTCCGATAATTGTTACAGGATCACCACAGAGCTGGAGGCCAAGGGCTATCAAGCATACCCAGGCAGTAAGGAACAGTAACAGTTGAAAGGTATTTACACCCCCAGACTCAAAAGGGTCTGGGCTCTGCAAAAACAGACTTTAATATAACAATCTATTATTGTTAGTCCTCAGTAATTGATCACCCATGTCTCCTGGACACCAAACTAATAAAGGAAACAGGTGCCTTAAAATCTGTCTCAGATAAGGCTTATCTCAGGTAAAAATTAAAAGCGTGTTCCAAATTTCCCCTGCCCCCCTACACACACACACACACACACACACACACACACACACACACACACACACAC